AGCCATGCTAATACACTGGTGCTACCTGATAGGAGGAGAACATCTGAGGAGGTAAGGCATATTGTAGAGCTTTAGTCAAGTTTATATATATACTCTTTTAGACTATAAGAATTTCATTATTTGAATTGCGATGTAAGTAAGCCATAATCAGGACTTTTTTTAAGCAGTTATAAACAGTGAAACACTTAAACTTTTCAAATTCCTCTCATTTTGTTACAAACAGAACAGCCATGAAACCTTGTCATTTCTGATAATGTTGGATTAATGGCCTCATTCATCCAACAAACCAGCATTCAATGTTTTCAGGACACTGGAATGCTGGGCATGCAGGCTAATATAAAAAAAGAATATGGATATTAGGAAAAACTCATTTTTTTAGTTATTAGAAACTGTCTGCAGAGCTTGTTTGCTCCATTTGGGTGTGTCATTTGGTTTTAACTCATGAATTATAGTTATGCAAGCTTTTTGAAACCATTGTATCAACAAAGTATTGTAATTTAATATGATATATATTATACGAGCAATTTCAGGTTGAACAATACCTGGTAATTAAACCTAACCACAGTTCTCTTTGCAGAACTCATTATTTCAATGCAAACTTAACATAAAATCTAGAATAATTTGAAGCAAAAGACGACAAGGTCATATATTTCTTGACCACATTCCCCTGGCAGTTATGATTATGTGTTTTTTTTTTTACGTACAGCAATAATTATGATTTTTTTATCTAAAGGCAAGGGGTCAAGTTTATAATAAAACTGGACATGGATGTATGGATGTGTGTGCTTGGGTATGGGTTGCTTATTTTTTTTCAACACAACTTGGCATGGGACAATGCCTAAAAAATTCGGCTAAATAACAGAAATCTTGTGATTGTGATATTGGCGGGCCACATATCTGGTTACAGAACAGCTATAGAGTGTTCAGTTTGTTGGAGAAATTATAGCAGAAAACAATGTTTACCTCTGCTGTGTGCAATAAAACAAGCATAGTTATTTATCTACTAACACTTGTGGTTTGAGTAATGTGGGCTTTTGAGAAATTTCAGGATCCTCTTTTAAAACCTACTGCCCCTTCAAGACGGGTCAAATCCATATTATATGTCACAAAGCGCAGACGTCTTTCTGCAGTAAGATGCAGTGTCGCGTGGTGTCAGTGTAATGTAAAAAGTCACCCATACCACAGCTCGTCTTCGTTCCTTTTGTATCTGCCGTTTCATTTCCCACCCTAAAACCTGCATTTGCGTGTCGGTACTTCTGCGGTTGAAACGGTCATTTTGTTCCGGTTTTATAAGAGCATTACCACCTCCACAGTGTGTTGGATTCAGACTTTGGTGGCTTTCAGTCTGGA